TGCGGGTGTGGGTGCGGGTGTGGGTGCGGGTGCGGGTGTGGGTGCGGCTGCGGCTGCGGCTGCGGCTGCGGCTGCGGCTGCGGCTGCGGCTTCAGCTGCGGCTGCGGCTGCGGCTGCGGCTGCGGCTGCGGCTGCGGCTGCGGCTGCGGCTGCGGCTGCGGCTGCGGCTGCGGCTGCGGCTGCGGCTGCGGCTGCGGCTGCGGCTGCGGCTGCGGCTGCGGCTGTGGCTGCGGCTGCGGCTGTGGCTGCGGCTGCTACACACGGTCGCAGTGACAGCAATAACACATACTAACGACTCTGCTTAGCATAGCACAGTACTTGTTCCTTCGTCGCATGTACATGTACCCCATCTAGCCATGTCACCCCGATGTCAGTACACTATCATCATCCTTGCCGCCGCCACATGCGTCCAGTCAGTAGCATCAGTAGCATCCCATCGCCCAGCAGTTGCTGCAATAACCCTTTTCCCAAGCCCTTCATCATACTCCGCGCCCTCCTTATGACAGGCAGCTTGGTTACGGCAGTGGACGAGTGCTGCCCGTACGTGCTTTAAATCTGTATATGGGGATTTTACTGTGAATGGGGCTGGGCATGGCAAGGGAATTGGGCATGGCTGTTCAACATGCCCAATCACCATTGATGGTCCCAAAACACTTTTCGTAGAGATTGCTGTGTATGCGCAACGCAGCAGCAAGTTTGTCGTAGTGTATCCCTAGCCAGGAGTCATCAAATTCAGATGGTGCTAGGAAGTGTTGGTGGCGAGTTCAGTCACGAGACCAAAACCTGGGGCTTCAACAGGACTCAGACATGAACTCGGTGCATGCCGTTGGGTGAGACGTGGCTGGGACTGGCAAGTAACTGTGTTGTTGTGCGTTTTTGCCACGTGCGCTGCAGGCTGGGGCAACCCCCGATGGTCATCCTGACAGCATCAGCGTCCTGGCCGGTCTTGCCTGTACAGGCTACGAGGAGCGGCTCGTGGACTGTCCCCAGGAGCCCGCAAGCGTGAGATGCGCGTCCCACAGGCAAGTACGCACATACCCGATCGAGGTCGTTTGAGGCCTTCGGGCCGAGGCCGCTCCGCAGCTATTCCTTTCGCCTGATCTCCTGCTGCTGCTGCTTCTACTCATGCACATGCACTTGAGAGCCAATTTCTACACCTGCGTTTCAAAAAGGAGATGCTCAGGCAATTACCCCTCCGCCGAGCTCATATTTCATGGGGGGAGGACCGGATAACCCTTGGACCTGGCGGGGATCCCCGCCTGGAGACGTGGGGATGCGATCTTGGACTGCTTGACATGGCACGCACATACATACATACATACACGTATACTAGGGTTTGGCACTACTGGTAAGGCGCGTCCATTGCCCCCGGGAGATCCCGGGATCGATACCCATTAGGGTCAAAAGTCCTTCCGATGGTGGAAGGCATTGCGCCCCTAGTTGATGGACGGTGGTGACCTGGGATAAAGCTAACCTGCGAGCCGACCAGGAACGGAGTTGGGCCGCTGTCGACCCGGCAGATTCCGTTGGATGCTGGTGGTGGGTGCGGAACCTGAGCGATCCACTGAGAAGTTGACTAGGGTGACTGGATGAGGGTGCCCCGAAATACCGGGGAAGGCAGGGTTTCGCAGGGTAGCTGCCACGGGCGAAGATACACCCCCCTGTTTCACACATCATACACATACAACAAACACAAGGAGTCCCTGACCTGCATGCTCCATCCACCTTTCACATTTGCTGTTGCAGGCTGGACGTGGGCGTGGTCTGTTTTAAGGGCCCACAGCAGCCCCTCCCAGCGGCTGTGCCGCCCCCCCCGGCTGACCCGTACGCCTGTAAGTGGACTGTTTTGGGGTTTAGTTGCGATTCAAAGGCCCAACCGCTCAGTGACCCATAGTGGTGCTCATCGTGGAGCCTCATCCTCTCTCCTTGGGGCGGTGTGGCTGGAGCGCAGCTTGTGTATACCCCGGGCGCACTTTGTTGCAAAAATGTTTCTGATTCTGAGATTCTGATTCCAAGATTCTGATTCTAAGACCTAAGATCTGGTTTAGAAGTTCGGGAGTCTGGGGAGTTACCCGGGCCTCAAGAAGGTTTGGACTCTGGAAACCTGTTGTTTATGTTTCCACCGTTTTCATTTCATCTTTTCAGGCCCCCGAACGCTGTTTCCCCCTCCTTTCTCCCTGCATCCCAGGCCCGGTGCCAGGACAGGCTCGTGTGGTAGACGTACTCGATCGGGTGACCTTTGGCGCGGGCCGCTTGGAGATCTGCCTAAACGGCGTCTGGGGCACGGTGAGTGCGTGTAGCAGATGATGCTTGTGTCTGCAGGGATGCCACATTCCCACCAATTGATGTGCCCTTGAGCGCCGTCGACCTTCCAAAGGGCGGGAATTATGCAATTAAATTTGAAAGCGCTCTTGCCGCCTTTTTCCTTTCCTCCCCTTGCTGTCACTCTCTCCGGCGAGGGGCTCTCCAGCAGCCTGACGCGGGCGTTCCGAAACCAGATGGATCGTTAGGGGCCCGAGTCTCTTAGGGCCCGAAATGCGATGCCATTTACCTTGATGGCGAAAGAAGTGTGCTGCGCAGCAGATCGATTGAGCCAGCCCTTACCCTCCTGCGCGTGCTGTATATATCTCTGCGCCCTTGGCACCTCGCGGTCCGTTAAGGCGGGATCGCTTATTGCTTATACCATCAGCGGATGTAACATACATACATACATACATACATACATACATACATACATACATACATACATACATACATACATACATACATACATACATACATACATACATACATACATACATACATACATACATACATACAAACAAGCCGCTTCAGGGCGACGCAAGCCCGCTTGTGGTCGGGGGTGCGGTGGGAGAACGAGAACAAAGAAACGCTGTGGCGGCTCGCCGTGGACGGCATCCCCCTGCCCGGCAACACGCACCTGGCCCGCATGGTGCCGGAGCGCTGTGGGTGTGGAGGGTTCGGCAACGCCAGCAACCAGCACTGCTCCCCACGCATGCACCACTTCTGGGAGTGCCCCGTCGCACAAGCTGTCCGGGAGCAGATTGATCGACACATACAGCCCTCCCAGGAGGCAGCGACAGGCGGCATCACCCGGAAGCAGCTGTGGCTGGTCCAAGCCCCGACCGGCTGCGAGCAGGCCCCCTGGGATGTGATCGCCCTGGCAGCCCTGTCTGCCATGGAGGTAGGCAGGTGTTGTCTGCGAGCAGCCGGAAGGCGACTGGAAAGGGCGGCTAACCCCGCGACAGAACAGCCAGAGCAAGCGCAACAGATCCAGGCGCAAGGGCCCCAACAGCGGCGGATAACGGACTTCTTTCACCTGGCCA